TCTTAAATGAAAGAGAGGCAGTTTGGTTATTCCTTGAATTATGGGATGTGACCATACATTGTTCAGAGACATCCTGCCGTTCACCCGTATCACGAGCGGTCATTCGAGGGGCCGTGTTTTGCATCACGTCACGTAGGAGTGGGAAAGCCCCTCCTCGTATGCGTGACAACGGCTGTCAGATACTCGAGTGGATCTGACCAACCACCGAGCGCCGGCGGCTCTCACCCTTCGGTTGGACAAATGAGGTAAGTCGCATTTATGAGGGTGCAAGTTGATTTGGTGTTTGTCCAATCACTTGTACTGTGAGCAGACATTCGGCGGGCCTGGAGTACCGTGTCTTCTCTCTTCAGGCCGAGAGAGGTGGGGAAGCGGGTTCCTGGTACTCGAGTGGGCTTAGACAGCTTGCCGAATGTCGGCGGATCCAGCCCTTGACTCGGACCGTCGAGGTGAGCTGCATTTATGAATGTTCAGGTCGACTCGACACCTGCCCAATCATTCGTACTGTGAGCGGCCACTTGACGGTCTTGGAGTACTGTGCCCTCTCCCTTCAGGTCGAGAGGGGTGGGAAAGCCCATCTCAGCACGTGGGGTAGCAGATACCCGGCCATGTTGGCGGCCTTGAGGTCTGCTGGCGAATTTGAATACAGACTCGGTCGGGCGAGTTGTGATAAAGGGTGAATTCCTGTGGCTTTGAGCGACTTCCCCTTACAGGCGGATTTCTTACAAGTCCACGGAGGTATTTTTTACCGTCTACACACACTTCGAGTCATCCATGCCTATGGGCTCATCTGCACAGATTCATACATCTAATGGATCTACGATTGCTGCTAGTCACATTGGCTCCATAAAAACTAACAACGGTTTATCTGTCTCGGACGTTTTTCTTGTTCCTCAGCTATCTATGCAACTTTTATCTGTTGGACAGTTATGTGATCTTGGGCTAATCGTTATTTTTCATTCTACTGGCTTTGTTATACAGGACCGCTCGACGGGGATACAAGTTGGGACCGGTCATAGAGTTGGACGATTATATGTGGCAAACAAGTTACAAATTCCATCCTCCACCAACTCATCTTTCACGGCTCTTACTACCAATTCATCCTCCTTTATCTCTTGGCATTCCAGACTTGGTCATGTTTCTTTTCCTCACCTAAAATACATGATAAATAAAGGATTGTTAGGACCAGCTACTTCAGACAAGGATCCTTCTTGTACTGCTTGTAAACTGGCAAAACAACCAGCTCTTCCCTTTAATAATAGTACAATTACTTCCAGCTCTCCTTTTGATCTTGTGCATTCTGATGTCTGGGGTAAAGCCAATGTCACTTCTATGGGTGGAGCTCATTATTATGTGGTCTTTATTGATGATTATTCTCGATACACTTGGACTTATTTACTTCATTCTCGATCTGATTTTTTAAAAGTATACATCGAATTCGCTACTATGATTAAAACTCAATTTTCGAAAACTATCAAAGTCTTCAGATCTGACTCCGGGGGAGAATACTTATCCAAACACTTTCTTGAGTTCCTAAAATCACAAGGGACTCTCCCCCAACTATCTTGTCCAGACACCCCTCAACAAAACGGGGTTGCAGAACGAAAACACCGACACCTTGTTGAAACAGCTCGTACTCTTCTTGTCTCCTCATCCGTCCCTTCCACATTCTGGGGGCAAGCCATTCACACATCTGCCTTTCTTATTAATCGCATTCCCTCAGTTGTTACCAGTGGCTTATCTCCCTTCGAGCGTCTATATGGGACCACTCCAGATTACTCTGAGCTTCATGTTTTTGGATCCAATTGTTTTGTGTTACTCCCAAAACGAGAACGAACAAAACTCACTCCTAAAAATGTCATGTGTGTCTTCCTGGGGTATGGGATTCAACACAAAGGGTATCACTGTTACGACCCGATTGCCAAACGTCTTCGTATTTCCCGCCATGTTACTTTCTGGGAACATAAACCATATTACTCCCTGTCCAAAGATCCCCTCAGAAATACTGTAACCTCTCTTCCTGCCGACCCATTCCCAGAGTCCCCTAATCCACCAGTATCAGATCCTATGCCATCAGTCACTGCTCCTATAGCTGATCCTGTGATAACACCTACCACTCATCCTGTCACCACTCCTATGCCACCACCTAACCTTCCTCCTGCACCTGTGACTGTCTGTCCACCTGCTGACAACTCTACGTCTTGTCCTGAGTCTGTATCTCCTGCCGACGACCCTTTAATGCGCCCAGTCCGAGATCGACACCCACTAGTCTGGCATTCCGATTACGAATGTTACCTCTCTGCCTTGTTATCTCTCCATGAGCCATCCTCATATCGTGAGGCTTCTGCTGATCCTCAATGGCAGAAAGCTATGTCTGAGGAACTTGCTGCTCTTCAGAAAATAGAAACTTGGGTTCTCACAGATTTACCCACTGGAAAATTCATTGTTGGATGCAGATGGATTTACAAAATCAAAACAAAGGCTGATGGGTCTATTGACAGATACAAAGCTCGTCTTGTTGCAAAGGGATATACTCAAGAGTATGGAATCGATTATGAAGAAACCTTTGCCCCAGTCGCTCGTATGACCACCGTTCGCACTCTTATCTCAGTTGCCTCCATCCGCAATTGGACTATTTATCAGATGGATGTTAAGAATGCCTTTCTACATGGTGATCTAAATGAAGAAGTCTACATGCAACCTCCCCCTGGGCTTCCTCATTCCCCTGGACAGGTTTGCAAACTTAGACGGGCTCTCTATGGTCTCAAACAAGCGCCTCGGGCTTGGTTTGAGAAATTCTCCACAGCTATTCTGCAGCACGGTTTTTCTCAGAGCTCTCATGACCCAGCAATGTTTACTTGCTCCTCTTCGTATGGCATTGTTATCCTACTATTTTATGTTGACGATATGGTTATCACCGGGGATGACCTGAATGGTATATTCAGGCTCAAAGCTTATCTATGTTCGTGTTTCGAAATGAAAGATCTAGGAGGCCTTCGTTACTTCCTTGGTATTGAAGTTGCTCACTCCTCTATAGGCTATTTCCTCTCCCAAGTAAAGTATGCCTCTGATATTCTCTCCCGTGAGGGCCTTACTGACAACAAGATTGTCGATACTCCTCTTGAGATGAATGTCAAACTCTCCCCTTCTGATGGAACCCTACTACCCAATCCCACATTATATCGGCAACTTGTGGGAAGTCTCAACTACCTCACTATCACTAGACCAGACATCAGCCATGCTGTCCATATTGTAAGCCAATTCATGTCTGCTCCTCGTTCTGATCTCCGTATCATACGCTACATCAAAGGGACCTTGCACCAGGGCCTGCATCTTTCTTCTACATCCTGTCCTGTGTTACAAGGATACTCTGACTCAGACTGGGTTGGTGATATTATTGATCGACGTTCCACGACAGGGTACTGTATTTTCCTTGGCGATTCACTCATCTCGTGGAAAAGCAAGAAACAGACTGTCGTTGCCCGCTTCAGTGCCGAAGCTGAATATCGTGCTCTCGCTCATGCTTCTGCCGAAATTGTTTGGCTTCGCTGGCTGCTTCAAGATATGGGTATTGACCATCCTGAGCCCACACCCTTATACTGTGATAACAAAAGTGCCATTGAAATAGCCCACAATGATGTCTTTCATGAGCGAACTAAGCATATTGAAGTGAATTGTCACTTTGTTCGTCAACACTTTCTTCAAGGGCATATTCTGCTACCGCACATATCTTCCGAGTTTCAGACAGCTGACTTGTTCACCAAACCTCATGTGGTTGCCAGGTTCCGGTTCCTCGTATCCAAGCTCCGGATGCTCTTCAAGCCTCCATAAGCTTGAGGGGGGTGTTAGAATATTCTACATATGCCTAGAATATTTACTCCTTGATTTGAGCCTTGATTTGAGAGATTGCATATATTTAGGAGATTTTGCTTGATTCATTCCTTGATTGTAATTACCATGTATAACTATTTCCTCATCCCTATATAAAGGGACCATGATTCATTGTATCAAAATAAGATTCAATATTCAAAATCATTGCTCTCTCAGATTCTTAACACAGCAAACAGTACAATAGTGATACTTGAATCACCCAATGCTTCAAGCATTGAGAAACTTTGCTAAGTAGTCCACGCTAATCTTCTGCAATTTTGGCACGACTTCTTTCATCAGAAGCCTTTCTTTAGGTGAGTCACTTGAACAAATTATACCCAATTCCATCAAAGAAGATAAGAATGGATGTAAGGTACATCATCACTCGATCTTGCATTTCCAGACTCATCGTTCAAAAGATTTTGATCCACAATTTCCAGCGGACCATTAAGATATGCATCACATGCATATTGCCTCAGGCTTGATTTGCAGAAAAATATAGGATCAGTAGGCTTTTACATATAAAAATCTCGAGTAACAATATCCCGAAGCTATAAACATCCCCTTTTGTTGATACTCTTCCATTTGATGCATACTCTATCCAACATACAAAAAAAGGATAACATACAAAAAAGATAACCAAATAATACTGATTCAATATAAAAAGGTGAAAAGTTTGATTATTACCTGGAGCAAAATATCCAATGGACCCTGGTGTTTTTGCTGAAGTTACACTCTGATTATCACCGCCTAATAGTTTTGCAATGCCAAAGTCGCTAAGATGTGCAGTCATTTCTTCATCGAGAAGAATGTTGCTTGGTTTCAGATCATGGTGCAGCACAGCTTGAGAATGATGATGATGAAGATACTCAATAGCTGAAGCCACATCGATAACTATGTTGATTCTTTGAAGTGAGCTCAAGCAGTATTTATGAGAGTGGAGCCATCTTGCAAGGCTTCCATTAGGCATCAATTGGAGAAAGAGTGCTCTGAAATCCAAGTCGGGGCAAGCAATGATGATTTTGACAAGATTTCTATAGGGAACCATTCGTAAAGCATTACATTCTGCATCAAAACTCTTTGAAGCTCCATCGACTTCCAAATTCAAGACTTTTACTGCAGTGAGAAGACCGTCAGTCTAATTGCCCTTTGTACACTGATCCAAATGCCCCTCTTCCAAGTAAATTTGCGTCACTGAAGTTTTCGGGGGCACAAACAAGTTCATGATATGAGATCAGTCTATAATTATTGCGAAATTGTGTGCCTGTTGTATTTGAATTCTTTGATCTCCCTTTATGTGACTTTAGATGGATATAAAGGCCAAGAACAATAATTAGAGCAAAAGCAATAGCAGGTAGGATACACTTGAGCGAATGAAGCCTACTCTTTGAATGAGAAACTGATACATTTGAAGAGCAAAGTGGAAAGCCTAGTTTTGGTGATCCGCATAATGCTTTGTTTCCTACCAAAGATATAACTGTGTGATTCAAAAATGCGCCTTTATTTGGAATGACTCCTTCAAGCTTGTTAAAAGACAGGTTTAGACTGTTGAGGCGGCGAAGATTGGCTAAAGAATCGGGTATTACACCTGAAAAATTATTGCATGAAAGGTTCAAATACGCGATATTAATAAGGTCACTCAACACTTGTGGAATCTGTCCAGTACACCAGTTATATGAAAGATCTAAAGCACTAAGCATTTGAATTTTTTTTTATAGCATTTGGAATTCTAACCGATAACTGATTCATTGAAATGCTCGAACTGTCTAAGGCCTTCATTTTGCTGATTGCTGAAGACAGTGATCCCTGGAAAACGTTTTCTGAATGATCGAGTTCAATTAGACGAGTTAGATTCCAAATACTCTGAGGAATTTCTGACAATAATGCATTTTCGCCAAGCTCCAAGTGTTCTAATGAACTGAGATTTCCCAGTGAGTCTGGTATCGCTCCAGAAAGTTTGTTTCCATAAATATACAATGTGTTCAGCATCTTTAAATTGCCGAATTCAAATGGTATAGACCCAGATAATCTATTATTCTCCAAACTTAGCAACTGAAGATTTTCTAGCATTGCTATTTCAGAGGGTATTGGATCATCTAGCTCAGTAGTACCCAATCCTAGACTCGTCAAGCTAGAGATACTGCCAATTTCAGCAGGGACTTTTCCCTTAATAAGATTTCCATCTGCAACAAAATGCAATAAACTTCTCGAGAGATTGCCTATTGTACTCGGAAGAAAACCCTCAAACTCATTTTTCCACAAACCTACATTTTCTACGTATCTACAGTTCGAAAGTGAGCCAAGAAAATCCAATCCTCAAACTTAACTTGTTCCATCCTAGATACAAAGTCACAAGCTGAGGCATGTTGCCAAAGTTCACAAGCAAAGTCGATTGATTGAAGTGATGACATATTTGAGAGCGAAATCGGAATAGAACCTGTTAATCCCTGGTTACGACCGAGATATAATTGTTGGAGATTTGAAAGATCTCCCAATTCCTCAGGAATAGTCCCATATAAATCATTTTGAGCGACGACCAAACCAACCAAACTTGTAAGATTACCAAAAGAAACAGGTATAGTACCTGTCAAATTATTCGGGCCAAGATACAGAAATTGAAGCTGCTGTAAATTTCCAAGCTCCATCGGTATTTTCCACTGAACTGGTTGTAAGATAAAGACAATGTGCGAAGATGATTGCAATAAGAGAATCCAGATGGGATACTTCCAGTGAGCTGATTGAATGAGCCACTGAGAACAAAGATTTGAGGAAGCATTGTTTGAATAGAGCTTGAATTCGAAGGAAGAGTCCCTGACAGATCATTCTCAAATAGCAAAAGCAGAATCAACGATGACATAGTGAAAATGGATAGGGGTATAGAACCAGAAAGCTGATTCTGACCGAGCATTAGTAGCTTAAGACGAGGCACATACGCTAGAGACTCAGGTATTTGGCCAGTGAGACTATTGTTTGTGACATTAAGGTAGGATAGAAAGGAGAGGTTCGCAATATGTGGAGTGATTTTGCCATAAAGAGATAAGTTGTCGAGCTGAAGAGCGACGACTCTTTGCCTTGTTTGGCTGCATTTGATGCCAGTCCAAGTACAGAAGGAAGTGTTGGTTGTCCGATTGCTCGATAGAATTTGAATGGGTCATCCACATTGGCTTTGAAGGAGAGGAGTGATGAGAGGTCAGAGAAGTTGTTGTGTTCTGCTGATGAGATTGAAGGGAACAAAAAAAGTACCAAATGTATAGTTGCAAAGAGAATGGGATGGAACTAGGAGTGCATTCAGTCTGGATACGGCTCGGATATGATGCTTACCATATCTATACCCGCTTACCCATCTCGGATACGGATACAGATATACCTCGGTAAGAAAAATTCATATCTATATCCGCTAAAATCAGAAATGATTACGGATATACATGCGGATATATAAGCGGATATGCATACAGATATAAAACGGATATGAAAAAACTAGATAGTATTGAGAAAAACATAGTTTATGTGATACAAAAGAGTTTGTTAATATGCTCATTATAACTAAAAAGTTAAGATTAGACATCTTGATCATTAAAATTAACCAAGAATCCATAATCTAAGAATCGAAACTATAGTAAGAGTATGACTAATACGTATTCGGATGTTTCAGGTACGTATTCGGATTTGAGTAACCATATTCGTATCCTAATGGATACGGTTACGGATATTTACTCGGAATCAGATACGGTTCAACAGCCCTCGATGGAACTCCATTAAAGATGAAGGAATGCAAGTGAAAGATGATAATGTATTTTCATATATAGAACTTTGGCAAGTAAAACTGAGACATGGACAAATTTCACAAGATTTCAATAATTGTACAGTAACAAGTTGCTTCGTAGTGGGTTGCTTGCTAGTTTCCTCCCTCGTGAGTCGTGCCTGGCGGCTCTCTTGTATTTTTGCTCAAGGACTTCGAACATAATAAGTCCATAGTCTGCTTCAAGGACCTCAATATTAAAACAACTTCGGTTCAAACCTCATTGCATATGTATACAAAAGGATCTTAAAAATGTACCTCTTCACAAATAGTCCAAGTCTTGGAAACGTACCACTATGCAAATAGTCCAAGCGTTGGTCATGATCCATGAAAGCGATGCCACAACTTCGAAGTTTTGATGCAACAGAATAAACTTTAATAATGATGATATAGAGTAAGTAATAAAGCATGGATATTTGAAAGAAACTTGCACATTTAAATAGGAAAGAGGTATTTAAAACGTAAAGCAAAGTAAAGATACAATTACAATGCTCATCCGTCCACTGACTCTATTGCCCAAAGATCAATATCTAGTCTAACTAAACTCACCTACTCGAATAACTTCTATAAAGTAAACCACTGATATAAAGACTAAAATTTTAAAAAAGAAAAAGGAAAAAAGACCCTATACTAAAAGAACTCAAAGTCCAGAAAGTTTCCCCCAGACTTAACATCAGCTCCAACAATCCTCTTACTACTGCTCCCTGCTCCAACCCCAAACTTCACTGGAACTTCAATCTCTGGTGCAGGCCTTGGAAGCTCCGGCGGCGTACTACACCTAATCAAAGCCCAATTCACACCCTCAAAGAACGGATGCTGCTTAATCTCGGTAGCTCCTCTCTTAAATCCAAACCTTTGTTGTGGCTCTTTTACCAAAAGCCCCCTGATCAAATCTCTACCTGCATAACTCGTCGAAGGTGCGTCGGGAAATTTCAGCTGCTGACCGACTACATTGAAGAGAGTTGCTCTGTTGCCTGACCCTTTAAATGGAGTTTTCCCGTATAAAAGTTCGTAGAGGAAAATACCGAAAGTCCACCAGTCTACTGCACTTCCATGGCCTTCACCTTTGATGATCTCAGGAGCAAGGTATTCATGGGTACCGACAAAGGACATTGATCTTGCTGCTGTGGGCTCAGCCAAAAGCTCGGGTTTTGAATTCTTCGAGTTTTTGTTTTTGGTTCTGGATTTTTGAGGGAAAATGCGAGGAAGAAAGCAGGAGGGTTGGATACAAGAGGAAGTAGGATTGATGCATGAAGGTTGGACACAGAATGCTGTTGACTGTTTGGATGGATTGTGATCTAGTGGTGAGGATTTTATTAGGGTTGGTGAAACTGCACAACGAAGCGATAGGTCAAAATCTGAGAGCATTATATGGCCATCATCTCGAACGAGTACATTTTCAGGTTTGAGGTCTCTGTAGACTATTCCAAGCATGTGGAGATACTCAAGAGCTAATAGTACTTCAGCTGCGTAAAACCTGGTATAATGAAAAATTATAACTTCATCAAATTAACAAGCTAGATCTTAAATTTACTACTCAGAATAATATATATACTGCTATCTTGAGAAAATAAGGAGGTTACAGGGCTCAAATGTTCTACATTCTCACAAATAAGCAGCGATAGTATCAGTGAAATCAGTTTCTAGGTAAGAAAGAATTAGATTCGTGACAAATCAGGAGGCTGTATATGTACACTATGTTATTACAAATAACAAGTTATGGCCTAAATTGTGCAGTGCATAAGGCGAGAGGAAAGTGTGCATTATTGAACAGTACTAAAAGAACTTTTTTTAAACTACAAGTAGTGTCAACTAAATGAGTAGGCTATATAATAGATCTAGGTAACAAAGTATTAGGTTCATCACAAAACAGAAAGTATATTTATAAAACATGTCATTACAAATAACAAGTTATAGGGCAAACAAAGCAACACATATATCAAAAAAAAATTTGCATGATAAAATTGACAACAAAGGGAAAGATGTATAAAATCATAAAAGTTCAAGCATGACAGGATACAAAATAAGAACAGTTATTGGGCTAATGAAGTATTCTAGTGCTTTAAGACCTCCAAGGAATGCAAACTACATCACTACTATCAATCAGAATATAGAAAACATTAATAACTGAAAACTCAACTGGTTAAAGAATTAAACAGTACCTCGCTGCATATTCAGAAAAATGCTTTCCAGGCTGCCGCTGCCTCAAAGTATGCAAATCACCACCAGGGCAAAACTCCATAACCAAACATGAAAACCTATCAGTCTCAAAATGTGTATACAAAGTCGGCAAGAAAGGATGATCGAGAAGCTGAAGAATCTCCCTCTCCGTCTGAGCCCTTGCTAGCTTCTTCCTGCTAGCAAGTGATGCCTTATCCATCACCTTCATTGCGAAATAGCAACGGGTCCCACTCAACTCCGAAAGATAAACACTTCCGATATCACCACACCCGAGCCTCCTCAAAAGCCGAAAATGGTTCATCCCCAACAAACCATTGCGAGCCCTAATGGCTATGATAGCTTTCCATCTCGGATCATTCCCTTTATGGGGCTTGTTAACACCTCCAGTTACACTACTCCAAGTACTATCATCGCTTAGGCTGCTGCTATCACTCGCTCGGCTAATGCTAGTCTTTGTACTTCCTAGTGAGTCTCCTACAGCACTTTCCTTCGCACTCTCACAGTTCTTCTCCCCGATGAACCCATTGCTCTTATATGAAGCCAAGCATTTATGCACGATGCTCACTGCTGCGTCTACACTTGCGCTGTCAATGCTAGTGAGAGGGCTTACATTGCCACTAGGAGGCAAAGAAGCATCCCACACACACTCCTTCTCAGAATTTTCTGTTGTTTGAGATGCACGAGGGATCGAGAATGGGGAATTGACAGAACCCAAATCATTTAAAGGAGAATTGGGAGCAATGGTTGGCTTCTCGTTAGGGATTTTAATGGAGAGATTTTCTATGAAGGGTCCTTTGACTGAGAGGGCTCTCATCAAACAGCTTGCTTGAGCCCTGCTCTCGTCGATTGGGACGAACATTGAGCCCATGAGATCGGAATCGATTGGCTCTGGGGGATGGCTTGCACCCGAGAAAGAGCTTGATCCTTCGTCGCAGGAGTCCATACTCTTGATGCTAGCAGCATCATGGGTTGATTCCTTTTGTGCTTTTACATCCAATGGAATTTGTTCTTCTTTCAGAGGCCTCTCCATCTCCAGTGTATAACTGGCATCACACTACGACCAAATTCAGAGGAAACTCAAACTGGGTATTCACAAAAACTCGTTAACTTAGATATATCCAGCTACTAATTTAATAGTAGCACTTCATGCTGCTTCTCTTGTTTGATTTTTAGAATCTGCACAGATCAAAAAGAAGAAATTAAGCACGGAGCAAGAGAATTAATAGGTACACAGGAAAACCCAAGTGAAAAAAAAAGAAAGAAGAAGAACAAAAGGAAACATTGCGGGGTTTACATTACAGAAAAAAAAAGGGGCCTAATTTTAGTGATTGTTGTTTTGGAAATAACTTAAAATTGGCAAAAAGCCAGGCATTTTGTCTAAATGAGATTACACTATCACACACAGCAAAGAAACAGGAAATAAAAAGAAAAAAATGATTAGTTAGATCTAAATGGGGAAGCTTTCCTCAAAAAATGAAGGGAAAATAGTAGAAATTAGCTCAAAAAAACTCAAAAAAAAAAAGCAGAAGGATGAAGTTTGACGACCTGAGGAGAGGTAGTTCTAGAGCTCAAAGAGGAGGAGCAATGGGATTTTAGTGGTCTAACTTCTAAAGATTTGTTCTTTGATCTTGCATTCTCTTTGCAAAAGAGTAAAGGAAAAAAAGAGAGAGGAGCAGTGTGAGAGAGCAGTAACTGCAATTCTCTCTTTTTGTTCTGTTCTTTTGCTGGTGATGCGTTTTACAAGTAGCTCCCTGTAGATAAAGGTAATTAATTCATTGAGGGTTTTCCTAGTGTTTAATTATAGTCTCCTTTTTCTAACAAATTACTTGTAGAAAAAGAACTTAAAATAAGCTTGCTTCTAAGTTTTTCAAGGGGTATGAAAGAAAAATATCGGTTGTTCTTACATGAACCTATAGTATGAAATAAGAGAGAGAGAAAAATGAATAGTGAGCCGGTCTTTCCTAATTTGCGCTAATTTATTTCTTTATTTCTCCTCTCTCTCTCTCTCTCTATCCCCTTGTGAGTAGTGAGTGTTCATAAACACCCCTCATAAAAAACGTTTACTTTTTTGGGTTTTTTTTCCCAAAGTAGGATGAGCTTCATTTTCTTAACGCCTTGTTTGGTACGTGGGAATGGACTCAAATGAGAATGGAATGGAAGAAGGAATGAAATGAAATGAATGTGAGAATGGAATGGTCATTCTCATTCTCATGTTTGGGTGTAATTTATAAAATAAAATGAGAATGAACGTATTTTAAAATTGTATATTTTATTGATTCTCACTTAAGTGGGAATGCCCATTCCCTATCACTTCATTGGGAATACTCATTCCCACATAAAGTGGGAATTGATGAGAAGTGAGAATGAGCATTCTAACTTCAAAAAAGAGGGTGTGTTTGGTAGAAAGGAATGAGAAGTGAGAATGATCATTCCATTCCACCTCATTCCCGCGTACCAAACGAGTAAGTTTTGGTACTAAAAAAAATTCCAAATTATAATTTATCCTAGATTTATTAAAACTTCAGAAAATTTATAGATAATAGATTACATCACTCATCTTATTTTTTCTGTTCGCATCCAAAAAAGTATCATTGAATTGTACCATATGAGCAACAAAATCAAATCTCGATTCTTGAAATCAAGGTTTGTTAGCATTTTTTCCATGATTTTTTTAATGTAGGCAAGATTCAGCGTTTGGATACGGAATCCTCACAAACTGAGACAGACAATGATGATTCCTGGTGGAAATTTTGACAAGTGAGCTCCAAAATGACCCATACAGATATTCTACATTGTGACTGCATGATTAGCTGCGGATCTTGTAATTATTTTCTCCCTGTTTATAACAATAATAACAAGGATCTGCCCCCCTTTCATTTCTTCATGCTTATTATAGACTCACTTTTGCATAATAAGAACCCAGCACGGATTTGACAAGGCTTTTGAAGTATTTGATTTTTGGGGGGAAGAGAAAGGGGGGCACTTTAATGATTCCTTCACACTTTTGTTTGGTTAAAGAGTTGGACTGGGGTGGGTGAATGTGCTGACCCAAATCCCTAGCCCTTGAAAGAAACAGAGATTTGGGCTCTTGTTTAATAGCCCCAAGGGCCCTAGGATCAAGAGGCCTAGGGGTGAAGCCCAATAAGTGCTAGGTTCCTTTTTAGACCTAGCCCAAGACTCATAAGAGTGCTATTACGTCTTTGGGAATGTCGTGATTGATTAAAATAATTGACAATGCATGCCGACCCGGATTATGCAAAATAATAATTATCATAAGTAACAAAGAAAGCAAAGTGATGATTAATTTTTGAGTTTTTTTCCCTAGAAAGGACCTCAAATATAATGTAATCATATGAAAATCACCTTTCATTTTTAATTTAGGGCCTGTTTGTTTGCCTTAAAAAAATGGGAAATCAAAGAAATAGAAAACTATTTCTAAGAAAAATGGGTTTTTGAATTGTTTGGTTGGCTGAAAAAAAGGAAATCAAAGAAATGGAGATGAGATGAGATGAGTTGTCACATTATTATTGGATGATGTGAGTGATTTTTTAAGAAAACTAGTTTTGATGTTGTTCGGTTGGCGAAAAAAATAAGGAAATGAATTATAAGAAACCTATTTCCCGTAGTTTTGTTGTTTTCTTTTGTTTGGTTCATTCTTAAAAATAAGAAATGAAATAAGATGAGATGAGTTGCCATTGTATTATTGGGTGATGTGAAGAAAGATTAAGAAAAGTGTTTTCATAACTTTTTGGGATGAAAACAAAGAAATAAAATGTTAATGAGATGAGGTGAATTGTTATAATATTTTATTCGATGATGTGAGTGATTTGAAATGATGAAAAGAGATGAGTTGAGTGATGTTTGGATGAAAATAATATTTTATTAGATGTGATGGATGAGTTGTTAGATGAAAATAATATTTTATTAGATGTGGTGGATAAGTTGTTAGATGAAAATAATATTTTATTAGATGTGGTGGATGAGTGGTTAGATGAAAATAATATTTTATTAGATGATGTGGATGAGTTGTTGGATGAAAATAATATTTTATTGTATGTTGTGGGTGAGTTTTAGGGATGGAAATGGAAGAAATGGATTATTTTGAGATTTCCACCTTTTCCATTTCCATTTCTTGGTTTTTAGGAAATAAACGAACAGGCCCTTATAAGTAAACCACTTTGAAAGTGAATTTTTGTTGCCATAAACCGGCTACAAAGTCAAAATTTTCAGTAAAAGCCCAAAATTATCCTTATAAGCTCACATTTTAAGGCATGCGACTCATTTTTTTAGTGTTTAGGTCTCGTTAAGATACAACTCATGTAACTTGAACTAGAATTTGTCAGCTTCTTTTTTATTTTCAATGAATGTTTGACTATAATAAAAACCTATTTTAAAGATGATTTATATATAATTGGAAATTAAAAGGTGATTTATGTGTAATACTTTTTTTGTGGTTCCTAGGGAAAAACCCTTTTAAAAAATATTGGAACCTAATTTACGGCGTTGTGAACAATTAATTATTGTAATTCAATGTTTAAGATGACAACTCCTTATGTACCTTTCTCACCAGTAACTTAAATTATGATGGCATCAAGTTTTGTGTGAAATTGATTTTTCACTTTGAAAATTCATATTTGATAATAAAGTACAATGTGAATTTTTTTTTTAAAATCACTTTCGATGACACAATACAAGTGTTTATTCCAAAGTTTATTTGTTGTTGGCATTACTATTATTATACTATGGTTATTATCATCATCATTGTGACGAAAACAACAATATTGTACATTAGTTTAAAAAATAGACGTACAAATAGAGAATGAGATTAAAGAGATGAGATTTCTTCATGTAGATTCAACCTCCAAAGAAACCAGTCATATTGCATAGCCATGCTTTGTTTGTTTTGGTCTGTAATCCTCTGTCCTTAACCATGATTAACTAAAATCTAAGATCAGCGTAAACAGCAATTAGCCTAATACGACATAAGGCCCACGGGCACTGACATATTGGGCTTCAGTAAGCCCAACAACCCACCTGGAAGAGAAAATCCCCGTGCGAGCTCGCCTGTCTTAAATCTCTGCTCCCCAAAATCCGAGCGAGCACTGAAATCAATCGCCTTCAAGAGCTTTGATTCTTGCTGTTATCTTGGTATATTCCTAATCTTTTAGCTTGCTATTCTTTTATATATGTCTATTTCTTTTTGCTCTTTTTAGATACTTTTCTGTGGTTTGTTCAGTTTGTAATTTGATAATCTTTTCTGTTGTGGGATTTGTTTATGGTCCATCTTATGCTAATTAGGGATGTGGGTTTGATTGCTGAAGAATTTTTATTTGCTGCCACTGAGTTGTCTAAATTTTGATAATATTAGTACTTGATGGTGTCTTTTTGAAAAAGGAAAAATGTGGCGGCAGCTCCTAATTTTCTTTTATCATATTGGATATCCTCGCATTCTTGTAATAATCAGGGTTGGACAGGTTATCTCACTAAAGACGCTTCATCGATAACTAATGAGAAAGGACTTTATTGATGATCCTTGTTTTAAGGGAATAGATTTATATTACCTCCAATTAATCCAGTGTTAGTTGATACTTCATGGTGCATAAACACATATTTGACGATATATTTTCATAAATGCATTGTGCTTATTTCTCCTGCAGTTTCCTTTTCAGTAATTCCCGTATAAACATAGCTTTCATGAACAAAGGGACGGGCTCGTTTACTCAGGGCTGAATCCCATATGATGGATATGTTATTGTTTAGAAAAGACCGTGCGGAGAAATTTTGCATTTATAACCACATGGTATAGCTTGAGACCTTTGTCATTGCAGCTGTATATCAAATTCCATCTGGAATGATACCTTGATATGGCCATGTCTTTAGTTTTAAGATTTTAGTTTTGTTCCTCTCACCAAGAGCTGCAAACAACAGAGCATAAGTCGAATTATGTTAATTAGAACAGAAAGTTGTGCCCAAAATAACGCCCTGTTATATCACATCTGAAGTTGTTCTCATTTGACCAGCGTCATGACATAATTTGTGACAGCATACCCGTTTGAGTGTCAGCTCTTTAAGTTTGCTATGGTAAACTACATTCCTTAGTACAACATTAGAACTTTAGAGTATTAGAGTAGAAATAGTGAGCATACCTATAACACACATAATAGTTGACATATTAGATAGTGACAGCGTCTCTTTTCTCTAAGCTTTTTTTTCATGAAGATCGGTGTCCTCTGTGATACTATTTAGCAATGAAATAGTAAGAGGAAGGTATGTGGACTCATAACTAAAAAGATCATTCTCCCAGGATATTGAGATGCTCGATATATCTCTTGCTTTTCTTGCAGTCTTCAGTCGACAGATAGTTGAGAAAATCTCTAAAGCTGTTATCTTTATACCTCATAGGATTCAACTCTTCTACCAAATCGTTGGCTGGGGCTACTTTTTCATCCATAGAAAGGTTATGGATGCTTGCAATAGAGATCCTTTTCTTCTCAGGGTTCAGAAGTGCTCTATGCACCAAACTCTTGTATTGTCCATTGCTTAAGACCTCCATATAATCACCTATATGGACGTGAAGTGCATCTTCATTGTATGGTACCGCTCTCCATTTTTCCTCTTTGGGGTTCTTGACCTGAAGGCCTTCACAATTTTGAAGGATGATGGTAATGAAGCCGTAGTCAGAATGAGAATCTAGTCCCACTTCAAGGTTCCTCTCGAAGCACTGAGGGTAGAAGTTGGTGGCGATAACTTGCATTCCACAATCAAACTTGTCTCTGAGGTACCCTTGATCTAGTCCAAGACTTTCTAGTATTGCAGCAATCACTTGCAAAGCTACTTTTCTTGCCTCCATGACGTAATTCCCCATCTTTTCCCTGATGATAGCATCACGTGAATAATGGGTAAATTTGACAAAACCCCTTTGGGCATTATAAATCATTAAAAAAACACGGAACTTGTCTCACTTAAGTACCATTACTGGTGGTATTTACTTTAAGTAGTCACGTGTTCAGTACAAGTTTATGCATATCTACTAAAGATAACTTCTTTTGTTAATATCCTTTACCTGTAAGGATAGGTAACCGTAGAATTTCTAAAAAGGTAAGTTTTTTACTCTACCTGTTAACGTCGTTTACGACTATTTTTAATAGTTAACGAGGGTTAGTCTAATTTTCAATTTGCTTATTTCCTTTTTTTATTTTATTTCTATTATTATTATTATTATTTTGTTGGGGGTGGGGGGTGGAGTGGTTATATATGCAAACACAAGAAAAAGTTCAGAATTCTGTAAGTCATGCAGAAATAGCTCGGATCCTGATCCACTATAAATAAAAAGTAGTGGAGAGACTACTACTTCGTCAGAATCATTGATTTCCTAATTGATGGATATGATTTGTCTTTGAGTGCAAATTAGGTATGAGCACAATATATCGAGATTCGAGGTATGGTCAGTGCTAAATTTAGAATGAATCTCAATCTCAGTAAATAATCAATAGTTAGTATAAAAAGTAGTGGTTTCTCCGCTACTTTTTGGTATTGGAGAGAATCCAAATTCCTTTATGTATGCCTTCCTTCTTGAGTAATGCAGCAGCGGGGTTATCTATCTGATAATTGTGAATCCGCCTTGTCTATTTTAGTTAGTCTTGTTATGGGCCTACATGATCAGATCCACGTGCACATGCATGCAAACGTAACTGGATATCAACTGTCCGTCTGAGGAAATTCCTCATCTGGATCTGACATGGACAAATCTGAGCTCTACATCTAAAGAGAAACGGAAAGGGAGGGGTCAGCTAAGCTCATATTCGATGATATTATAAAAATATAGAATGCTCAGGAACGAACAACAAAGGCAACAGTTGTCGAGTGTCATCATTTGTTTATTAGCATTTGATAACTAGTTTGGCGGAAACGTCAGTATTGGGAATCTAAAAAAGTTATGTTTATAGTTGCCGTGAGTTGTTATGATGATGACAAATTATTCATTCCTATAATTTAGGTGATGAAAATTATTTCTTTACCTGTAGTCTTGTGGTACTAATGGCCATAAATGAATCCACTCACTGAGGGGATGAGCATAGAGCTTCAGAAAATCTCTAGCCCTACTGATGCCATCCTTTGGGTTTACTTTATATCTGACAGGCTTTGATGTGTCATCTGATGCAAATTCTTCTTTCTCCTCTGCTGATAAGTCGAAGAAATCTGAAGCTGCTTCCAGAGCGTCATTCATGATTGTTGTGTTGATTCCATGGTTGATAATCTGCAAACATGTTAGGAAGTATAATCCTTTATTTACATAACAGAATTCGCAGGAAATTCAACTCACTACAGCTACCCAATGCTTGTAGTCTTCTTGTGTTGTGGGAATGGTGTAACCTAACTTCCGCCTTTGTGTACTTTATTATATGATAAATTACGAAGAATCAGGACTTGGTCTGGACCATCATGTTCTCTCCCTGATTTTCAATCTAATGATGGATGATAAGCACTAAAGCTTCCTTCTGAAACCTTTGTAGGTTGCAGCAAACAGCTATATATATGTGTTTATATTTGTGATGTTGTCCATCTAATGATGCCCATAGTCAGTAATCTATACTATGTATTACATATTTTGTACTCATTGTTATTGTGATTAATTTAAATGTAATGTGAGCACTAATCTACAGATCATCTGTCACTGTTTTAAATTTTAGGAATAGTTAGCAATCTAGAATACATGTATGCCACGTTGTTATTATTGTTTAGTTGGACTTAATGTGACCCTATCTTTACGCCATTTTATGCATGGTTTATAGTCCGGGTTTTTTTTATTTTTTTATTTTTTAATTTTATTTATTTATTTATTTTGTGCTGCTCATGGAGGTTCTGAATCTTTAGCAGATCTTCCAGGGGAGATTTACTAGTATTATTTGAATATGAGGTACCAGATGTGCAAACTGTTCAGTACATTACAAGCCTTCTATTTTCCATGCACATGCAGTTTGATTTTGACTTTTCATGTGTGTTGAGATTGTTATGTTTAGTAAGTTGTGTATTTAATGTAGGTAAGAATACCAATTGTGTTGGATAGTGACATATCATAATCCTGGGCTACATTAGAATATAAAACACTCTACCCTCACTAGGTTGGAGTTTTGGTTAGCGGAAGGGACTTTAACATGGTATCATAGTAAACATCAAGTTTAAATCCCACGGATTTCGACCCATTGAAGGGGAAAAAAGACTCAACCTACACGGCCATATTGGATTCTAAAATTATAGCCCTCAACCCTCACGAGGACTCCTGAAATTTTATATCCAAACAGGCTACACATTGAACTCTGAAGCTGTGAGCATTACACATGGAAATTTTATATCCTAACAGGCTAGACATTGAACCTTTAGCCTCAACTACTTATTTATGAAATAGCTCATGCTTGGTCAATCTATATGATTGAGTCAAGTCACAACTGAGCCCTGGAGCTTATTCTAACCCATGAATGAAAAATAAACGAAAATGCATCTTTCCTCACCTGGAAGCAACCTAAATCCTTGCACGCATTCCTAATAACTTCTATCGCTTGAGCTCGAACTTCTGGATTTTCATGGAGTTGGCCATAATCAACAACAGGCACAGAACGGTTTTCATCATGGTCCATGATCGTTGTTCTCGAGTCAATTGTATGAACTACAGTTGGGATTGCATAGCTTTTTATAGGCTGTTTTGTCTTAGTCTTGAAGCCTTGAATTCGTTTTGACTACAGAAGTATGGATTTAAGGGTTCTTTGAATGTAGACCTTTAGTTTGCATCCATGTCCGTAATCAATGATGCTTTCTCCTCTGCTCTCACAGTTGCATTTTCTTAACCTATCTGAATTTTTTTTTATGTGGATCAGAAAAAGGTAGGTAATAAAAGGAGAGAACTTGCTTTTGTAGTATTCTGACCTTTGTCTTGCTTATAATTTCAGTGAGCAGATACAGCAGCGGCAGGCCTTATTTTCAGGAGCCCCCCTGGTTGCCGCCGAAATATCATGAGACCCCCTCTTGATTGGTTGCTGAGATTGTCAAGTGGGAGCGAGTCATAAATGGGGACTTTTGTGAGGGACTAGAGGGTAACATTTCCTGCAGTGAACAGGGAGAAACTGGGAATTATATGGCATCACTGGGGACGTCATGGTTCCTACTTGCTTGACACGGGGGTGTACGTAGGAGAAGTTAGTGATGTTATTCCGAAAAGTTCGATGTTGTATAATGTCCATGATGGTAGCTTGCAATAAAGGGGATGTATAGGAGTTAGTGATATTACTACGAAAAGTTTAATGTTGGATAATATCCATGATGGTAGCTCGCAACAAACGGGATGTGTAATTTTTTTTTTTTAATTGTTTGCTGTGGGTGGGGGTTTTATTTTTTTTGGTGGGTGGAGGGTAGGGATGGATCCAGGATTTTAGTTCCGGGGGGCCGCATACAAAAGATAGACGAAAAATTTTCTTAATATAATTTTATTCACAAGAGATACACAACAATCCAAACAAAACAAGCAGAATAGCCAACATTAATATCATCAAAATATTTCCAAAAAGGAAGACAAAAATTATATAGAATGGATATATTTTACTTTTTAAGAGAGGAGGTTTTACCGAAACCATCCTATCTTTTTTTTTCCTCAAATTTTTGGGGTGTTGTGGCCCCACCTGGACTGTATATAGATCCGTCCT